GTCATTGTTATGTAAATATATTAGTAGAGTTTGCTTAACATCTGATATGTGGATTTGTATTAAGACAGGTGACTTTATTTGCTTAATTATATACTTTATTGATAATACCTGCTATTTTAAAAAGAAGATTACAAATTTTAGTTTTATGGCACCCCATAAGATGATATAGTTTTGTTTGAGAAGCTTCAATCTTTTTTGATTGAATGAAAAATCAAGGAAAGGTTTCTATTATTAATTTAGACAATGCTTGTGTTAATGATGTTTATGTTGATTTCTTTAGAAATTATTTGAATTTATGATGGTGAATTTTTTCATATACAATGTTGTGCACATATTGTAAACTTTATTGTTAGACAAAATCTAAGATAATGTTAAACAAAATTATTTTGATAATTGACTCTAAAAGAGGTTTGAGGCAACATGTTCCATTTAGATGGAACTCCATTTTTATTATAATTGACAATGCTATTTAATATTGAGTTGCTTTTTCTTCATTTAAAGTTGAGTAATTTTAATTACAAGTCTCGTCATTGTAGCATTGAATGGGACAAAATGCTAAATATATGAAATTTCTTGTCTCATTTTTATGAGATTACTTGTGCTTTCTCTAAAACAAAATATCCAAATGGAATTTTTTTTTTCTCTATTGCTTATTTAATAGTAAAACATGAACTGTGAAGTGTACATGACTATATTTAAAAAATTACAATTGGAGTGCTTTCAAAATATGAAAAGCATTAGCTAGAATTTTGTCTCATCTCAGTAATAGCTATTATTTTTTATTCCATTTACAAATTTAGCTTTTTTGATTGATGTTACAAGAAATTATATAATGGTGATGTGAAAACTAAAAATGATTAGGGATAAATTTTTTTAATTATTTGCGAACTACTCGAAAGTCTGTAAGTATAGCTCAAATGCATAATCATCAACAACAACTGTCACAATCCAACCCGATCAGGATTGTCACACCATTTTATGTTAGATTGTGAAACCTCTAAAATTTCTTATAAGAATTTTTGACCTAGAACAATCAATATTTATTTCAGAAGTCAACTTAAGCTCAAATGATATAAGAGAAATACACTAACCGGAAGATGGGAGCTAAGTGTCATACAAGACAAAGTGCTACGCCATGGAGCCGCCTCTTGAACCCTGTATGGGACAAAGTGCTATATGATGGGAGCCACCACTTGAACTTGTATGGGATACCACTAGAGTCCTATTTTCCTGGATGATGATTATGGGATACGGATACTGACGAGGACGTCAGTTACTTATGTGGGAGAGATTGTGAACCTCTTAAGTAAAAGAAAGTTAACTCTTAAATATCGAGGCGTCTTTTAGTATAATGGTGAGAATTTCTGTAAGAAGCTTTGTAATTAAGCATGCTTATCTAGAGCAATTTTGGGATGGATGACCTACTGGGAAGTTACACCAACATAACAAAACTGTGAGGCTCTTAGGACAAAGCGGATAATATCTTGATAGTTAAAAATTTGAACTGTTACAACAACATAATGTTCTCAAAATGATATGTCAAAAAGTTTTTTTTAAATAATTATTAAATCACAATTTCTATAGGTACTTTTGTTCAAGTCAGTGACTTTAATTATATGTTTATGTTTGTTTTAATTTGGACAATTGCTCGTCTTTTCTTCCAGCTTATCAATAATACTTTGAACTTTACAAACAAAATTTTGATTCCTTCGAGGTAAAAGTTGCAATGCATAAAAAGTCTTATCTTGATAAACCCAAACTTGATAGGAAAGTCAAATTAGACATATTACATTCTAAAAAGGTAATTAGTGTAAGTTTCTTGAAGTTTTTGTTATGGCTCATGATGTTTTTGTCAACCAGAAGGAATCAAGAAGCAACTCCAGCTCATGCCAGCTCAGACGGAACGAACTCCGCCGACATTACTGTTACGAAATCTGTAAAAGGGAAAAACTATAAATACCGATGTAAGGAAGACAAAGAAGAATAATAAAATTTTCCCTTTCTCCACTTCTTGTTTTTCTTCTCTAAGCTGAAAGCTTAACCGCACTTCAGCTCTTTCATGGTATCAGAGCACGATCAACATAAGACGAAGAATTTTTTTTTTCTCTCTCGTCTTTCTTCCCCGCTGTGATCAACTCATCTGAAATCAATGGCGGCATCGTCCATTCAATCTCAAACGGCAGCCTCCAAATCTTCAATCGTCACCGTAACCATTCCGCCACAGCTGAAGTTCCTGATGAGCAACATCAAGAACCTGGTACCAAACCCGCTGACAGCCGACAATTATTCCATCTGGAAGAGTCAAATTGAAAAAGTTTTTACAGCAAATGGATTTCGCGGCTTCATCGACGGAACATGTACCTGTCCACCTCAGTCATCTTCCTCGGAAGCATCATCAAGAACAGACGATTCAATCTCATACAGCGACTGGATTCTTATTGATCAGAATCTCTCAGCGGCATTATACTCGGTAATTACTCCATCCATTCTACCGTATGTTCTCACACTTGATCACTGTCAGGAAATATGGAATACTCTTGCTCATCGTCTTCAAGCAACGAACCGATCAAGAATCATTCAATTGAAGAATGAGCTGCATCATCTATCAAAAGGAAATAAAACAATGACTCAGTACCTACTAGAAGTAAAATCAAAAGTAGATGCAATAGCAGCAACAGGACATGTGATCAATGCGGAGGATGTGATACTGTATACGCTAAATGGACTTCCCTCGTCGTATCAATCATTCAACACAACGATACGAACGAATCTGCAACCGATCAGTCTCGATGATCTGTACAGTCTGTTGTGCAGCGAAGAACAGATTCAGATAAACGATACAGCAAGAGATCTTCAATCTCTAAATTTAACAGACAATGCTGCAGCATTAGCAGTTCATCGTGGTCGAGGAAGAGGACGAAAAAACAACACAAGAGGAAATAGAGGTCGCAGATCAGGAAGGGGCGACAGAGAAGACAGGAATCTGCACAGAAATACAGTGTGTCAAATATGCAGTAAGACTGGTCATTCAGCAGTTCGATGTTGGTATAGAAATGATCCGGCCTACAATGATGCAGGACATAACACTGCACTGATCACCTCATCTGGTGCTAACTCTCAAGCAGAATGGTTTCTTGATAGTGGAGCCTCAACACATCTTACAGCTGAAGCATCACAACTGAGTGCAATTGAACCATATACTGGTAATTCACAGGTAACTGTTGGAAACGGGCAACAACTTCCCATTCACAACACGGGACGGGGCATTCTCCCTACACCTACAGGTAATCTTTATCTACATAAACTTCATCATGTACCAAATCTATCCTTTAATCTCTTATCAGTGCATCAACTCACAACTGATAATAACTGCACCATATCTTTCTCATCCGATGGATATCAAATAAAGGATTCGAAGACACAGCGTCTTCTACTCAAAGGACCCTTCCATAATGGACTGTACAAAGTGCAAGCCACCTCCCCTCCATTGGCTCTTGTTTCCGTTGAATCTGTCCCAGATCTATGGCATTCTCGTCTTGGGCATCCCAATACTTCCATTTTACGTTTACTAGCTAATAACCACTCTCACATTTGTACCACTATATCAAAAACATGTAACAGCTGCTGTCTTGCCAAAAGCAAGCAATTACCATTCCAAAACTCTGTTACAGTCACCACAAAACCATTTCAATTAGTACACTCAGATGTATGGGGGCCTTCCCCGACTACATCTATACAAGGTTATCGATATTATGTGCACCCCAATTTTTATGATTTTTTTTGAAAGTGCATTTAATAGTAGCAATAGATTCTAAATCAATATCCAAGTACATTGAAGTAAGATATTGTTGAAGCATTAGTATCTACAAAGGATTGCTTGTATGAACTTACATATTTTATGCAAAATTCTTTTTATTTGCAAGAAAGCTATTAAACATAGCTTTAGTACAGTTAGGTTTCATTTGGGATAGTTTTTTACCACTGTTTTTTCGCTACTATCAATAGAGGCTTAATTTGGGATGGCTTTTTTACGGCTTCTTAAAACTAAAAGATCAGTTATATAAATTAAAATAAAAAAACCGTCCCAAATGATTTAACTTCTCAAAACTTTTCAATACAATAATTTAAGTTTTGCACTAAAAAGCTATTTTAAGAAGCAATAAAAAAATCGTCCCAAATGAAGCAAAAGTTTTGTACTAAAATGTTGTTGTAGAAAATAGTAAGAAAATTGTATTAAACAAAGACTTAGGCTTGAAAATAATAAGAAAGTTGCGTTAGGCTTTATTTGGGATTCTATTTTTAAAAACATATTTTTAGTACAAAAACTTTTTAAAGTTAAAATTTTGTACTAAAATTTTACTTTAAAAAATAGTAAGTCAAGTTGTCCCAAACAAAACTTTAGTCGCATGCCCTTCAATGAAAAGGATTAAAGTACATTAGGCAGCTTAAAAATATTTAATAAAGCTTTATGTAGATATAATGATCAAAGCTTTCCACAGATCTAGCTTTTTATTGGAATATACGGGCTATGCCTTCAATTTTTCCCCCAAGAAAAAAATTAGAACACGCCACGCCTTGTTTATCCACATATTGAATATCAGGTACCTTTCAAAACATTCATTGTAGTTTGAGTAAACAAATTGCTGCCTGCATATGTTAAGGTAAATATTATAGGAAATTTCTGATTTATCAAATTGGAAGCTTTTGTACTAAAAAGTTGCTTTAGACAGCAATAAGAAAGCCGTCTCAGTGAAACCTAAATAGAAAGAGCTTATAATTTGATCTCATGCAAGTACATTTTAGAATTCAAAAGTGCTAATATTAAGATCATTTTTTTAATATTAATGAGTAAGCGGGTTAAATTAGGTCGGGCCAGATGGGTTATTGGTGATTCAAATTT